TGGGGCGTCCAAGGGCGCCGTCGTAAAGCAATGTCGGGACTTCACGCGAGGGCCAACCTAGTACGTTACGGCTTGCACAGCAAAATTGTCAATCATCAATGGGATTCTGATGGCTCGCTCTGCGAATTTTCTGACAATCTTGGCTTCGGGACGCAAGCATCGCGTAATTGACTCGGGAACGTAGCCTCGGGGACGCGAACACGGTGTAAACTTCAAAAGAATCGTGGACGCGAATATTCTTAATGTAGAAAGGATTGTGGCGTCGGTTGCGCAAATCTTATGCTATTTACGATGGTTTATGGCCTCGAGGACGCGAGTGTTGCATAGTTTACCGGGGGGCGTGGCCTCGGGAGCGAGGACATTGTAATTTACATGGGGTCGTGGCCTCGGGGGCGCGAACATTGAGTAATTTACGGTGGACCGTGGCCTCGGTGCCGCGAACAGTGGGGAATGTACGAGGGCGTCTGGCTTCGAGGAAGCGAATACGGGGTGATTTCGGAACCTTGGTGCTTGAGCCAATGAAAAAGAGGAGGGAAGGGAGAGGGAGCTAACAATGATGGCTTCAAGAGCGCAACTGTTGCATCCTCTGTGTGGGAGTGTGGCCTCGGGAGCGCGCGCAGGGGGGCGAAAACACCCGGAGACGCCAGCCACCGGGCGACCCCCCGGCAACGCCGTCCATGGCGCGCGGGGCAGCGACCCGCTGGGCGAACACCCAGAGACGTCCGCCAGAGCACGGGGCGGCGATGACCAGGCGACGGGCGGCCACCGGGCGAGAAGAATTCTGAGATCCCCGGGAGGCCGCGGTGTAAGCCCGTTTGGGGCTCCCCTCCTCGCGCGGACTTGAACATTGTACAGTAGAAAGCAGACAGTAGAGCTGGAACATTGGAAACTTGGAACTGAAACTGGCGCAGGGAGCAGCAAACCTAAGCCCCGCAGCCCAATGGCACCACAGGGGGGCCGGCGGATTCCAGCGTGGATCCAATATGGGATGCAATATGGTCGCCAGCGTGGATTCAACCAGCACCCAGGATGCGCAATGTAATTGTCTGGTGTGCAATCTATGTGGTGCAACCTACGTGGCGCAATACTGGAGATGCAAGCTGCGCAGTGCACTCCTGTGTGATGCAGGCCATATGGTGCAGGATACGTGCTGCAGTCCAGTGGTGCAAGCCGTGATGCCAAGTATAGGGACTACACTCGACGCCGTGAATCTATGTTGTGCAGCCGGTGTGGTGCAATCTCCAGCTGACCGACCCCTCGTGGGCACCCGTCAGACGACACCGCGGTGGCTCGAGCCAGCGCACGGGGCACCCACGGGGCGCCCACCGGGCGAAACCTTGGCGGGCCCAGCCAGCGCACGGGAAGCCCACGAGGCGCCCAGTGGGCGCCCACCGGGCGCAGCCCTGTCGGACCCGTGCACCTGCATACCAACGCAGGTACGACAACAGGTGACTACCGCGCAACGCCTGCACAATCGCCACGTTTTGCATCCCGGGTGCGAGGTCTGGAGGCTTCCCGCGAGCGCCTCGTCTGCCGCGCGCGCCCCTTTGCCGCCTGCTCATGAGGCGGCCACCCGGGCCGACATGCCTGAGCCAACGCAGGTGAGAACCCTTCGGCGCAGGCCTTGTTTGGGCCATGTGTGGTGACAGCCTGTGAGGTGCACGTGCTGCTCCGGGGGCCACTGCAGCACGGCGGCCCAGCCCGGCACCCACGGCCCTGGCAGGCCGTCCGCCGCGCACCCCGGGCACGACCCGACGCCCAGGCCACGGGAGGCCAGCGAAGGCCGCACGACGCCACGCAGCAGCGCACCGGCCCGACACCGAAGCTGCAGAAGGCCAGAGCTGGAAGACCACGGGCGGCCGCGCAGCAGCAGCCCCACCCCAGGTCATAGGAGGCCACGCAGCGGCCTGACACGGTTCCCAGGCCACAAGTGGGCACGCGTGAACGCCAATGGGTTGGCAACCTTGCACGACCATTGGAAACAATTGGGCAAGATGGAGACAAGATGAACCTTGAACGCGTTAACGCCATTAACGACAATTGGAGAAGATGCGTGTTGCTCAATCCTTGCACGCGCGCAGTGATAGTGCTCGACGCGTGTGCACCCAAATCGGAGACTGTTCGCTGCATGTGCACACGGGATGTTCATCAGCAGCCGCGTTCAATGCCAGCTTGCTGGATGAATCGCCGCAGACCGTCGTTCCCACAGTTCGCATCACACGTCATGGTCAACTGGACTCTGGAAGGAGACGGGGTATGAATGGCATGCTGCTGTCGGTAGCACGTGAGCGTGTCCGAAGGCCTGGCTGCTCTTCAACAGTGACGCACTGATGGGTCTCCCCACGGCGGCGTACCATTGATATGGCCCATGATTCCCGGTGGACTGAGTGCCGCGCCAGAGTGTTGTTCCCAACCCTCCGGCGTTGAGCACTGCGCTCTCCAACCTTCCTTCCTTCTCCTCCTCCTCTCCATCCTGCCTCCCCCTCCGGCGTTGAGCACTGCGCTCTCCAACTTTCCTTCCTTCTCCTCCTCCTCCTCCTCTCCATCCTGCCTCCTGCTTCCTGCCTCCTGGCAGGTCGCGCGGACTGGAGCGGTACGGGGACCCAATCAAAACTTCGCGCTTCCTGGAGGGGCTGCGCAGCGTGAGATTGGCTCCACTCATCGTGTGCTCCTGGGAGGTCGAGCGGAGTGGAATGGTACGGGGACCCAATTACAATCTCGCGGTTCCCTGGGGGGGCTGAACCGTCGCCGTTTTCGTGGGCTCCCAGGAGGTCCAGCGGAGTGGAGTTGTACGACGACCAAGTTGAGACCTCGCGGCTCCCTGGGGGGGCTGCGAAGTGTGAAATCTTCACTACTTGCGTGGGCTCCTGGGAGGCCCAGCATCGTGTTGTAGTACGGGGGCCCAGTTGAGACCTCGCGGCTCCTTGAGGGCCTGCGAATTGTGAGACCGTCGCCACTTTCGTGGGCTCCTGGGAGGTCGCGCGGAGAGGAGTTGTACGGGCACCCAGTTGAGACCTCGCGGCTCCCTGGCGGGGGTGCGAGGTGTAAAAAAACTGTCGCCATTTTCCTGGGCTCCTGGGAGGTCGAGCGGAGTGGAGTGGTACGGGGACCAAATTCAAACTTCGCGGCTCCATGGGGGGCTGCGATGTGAAAGATTGCCGCCATGTTCATGGGCTCCTGGGAGATCCAGCGGAGTGGAGTTGTACGGGGACCCAGTTGAGGCCGCGCAGCTACTTGGGGGCGTGCGAAGTGTAAATGTGTTGCCGCTTTCGTGGGTTCCCGGGAAGTCGCTCGGAGTGGAGTGCTACGGGGATCCCGTCGAGACCTTGCGGCTCATTGGGGGGGTGCGAGGTGTGAAACCGTCGCCATATACGCGGGCTCCTTGGAGGTCTAGCGGGCTGGAGTTGTATGGGGATCCAGTTGAGACCTCGCGGCCCCTTGGGGGCTACGAAGTGTGAATCTGTCGCTTCTCTCGTGGGCTCCTGGTAGGTCCAGCCGAGACCTTGTGGAGGTGGATGTGTGAAAGCATTCCCCAGGTAGGTCTCTCGCGGCTCATTGTGGAGGTGCGATTTGTGAGATCTGTCCCCATTCTCGTGGGCTCCTGGGAGGTCCAGCGGAGTGGAGCTGTACGGGGACAAGCTGAGACCTCGCGGCTCCCTGGGGGGCTACGAAGTGTGAATCTGTCGTTTATTCAGTGGGCTCTTGGGAGGTCTCGCGGGGTAGAGTGATACGGGGACCCAGTTGAGACTTCGCGGCTCATTGGGGGGGCGCGACGTGCGAATCTGTCGCCATTTTCGTGGGCTCCCGAGAGGTCCAGCTGAGTGGAGCTGTACGGGGACCCAGATGAGACCTCGCGGCTCCCTGGGGGGCTACGAAGTGAATCTGTCGTTTATTCCGTGGGCTCTTGGGAGGTCTCGCGGGGTGGAGTGATACGGGGACCCAGTTGAGACTTCGCTGCTCATTGGGGGGGCACGACGTGCGAATATGTCCCCATCATTGTGGGCTCCCGGGAGGTCCAGCGGCGTGGAGTTGTACGGGCGGGGATCCCGTCGAGATCTCGCGGCTCGCTGGGGGTCTACGATGTGTGAGATTGTCGTCATTTCTGTAGGCTCCTGAGAGGTCGCGCGGAGTCAAGTTGTACGGTGGGCCAGTTGATACTTCGCGGCCCTTTTGAGGCTGCAGAGTGAAACAGTCGCCATGCGTTTATTCAATGCTGCTGTAGATATGTATAGCACTATGTTTCCCAACCCTCCTGCGTTGCGTTCTCGTTTCGGATAGAGCGCAGCAGTCTCTACCCTCTCCTCCTCCCCACTCCCGCTTCCTCCTTCGCTGCTCCCTGGGACGTTGCGAATTGCACTGTTGTCGCCACTTTCGTGGGCTCCCGGGAGGCACGGTGGAGTAGGGGAGTACGCGCATCCAGACGAGCTCTCGTTGCTCCCTGGATGGCTGCGAACTCTACAGCTGTCGCCACTTTCGTGGGCTCCTGGGAGGCACCACCGAATAGGGGAGTACGCGCATCCAGCCGATACCTCGCGGCTCCCTGGGTGGTTTCGAGGCCATTGTCGTGGGCTCCTGTGAGGTCCAGCGGAGTGGGGGGAGTACGCACATCCAGCCGAGACCCCGCGGCTCCTTGGGGCATTGCCGATTGCGCAATTGTCGCCACATCGTGGGAGTCCCAGCGGGGTGAGGGAACATGCAGACCGAACCGAGACCTCGCGGTTGCTTGTTGGGTTGCGCAGTGAGCAATGTCTGCCATTGGTGTGGGCTCTTGGGAGGTCCAGCGGAGCCGAGTGTCTCTGCAGCGTGTTCTTTTGGATGGAGCGTTCTTTTGAATAGTTGACTCCCGTTGGGAAGGGATGGGGCACGTCTCGGGTAATTGATACTTGTATGGCTGTTTCGAGGGGGCGTGTGCCACGCGGCATGTTCCACTCCTCCCTCCCGCAGCCCTTCGCACCATTGTTGTAATCGTTCATGTTTGTCGATGGCAAGCGTGCCCTCAGGATGCCAAGGTGTACATCAAGTGCTTCCCGAAAAAGACAGGAGCGACCGCATGAACTGCTACCGTGCGTGGGCCCTCCTTCAGATACCCCCTATGCATGGAGGCATTTTGTGCAAATCCGCATACGTGAAGAGCTACCAGCGGTGGTAGCCCCAGCATGGAGCATGATGCTACGGATGCACAGCAGCAGGTGCGGCAGACACATATAGAGGAATAGGAGTTGACAGGAGTATGCTAACACGTACGGATTGCAAGGGACACGTCAAGGGTAAGGTTGGGCCTTCCAGCAGCGAAGCCTGAAGGGCGTACCCTGGACCGCTCAACGGCGCGGAACGCTCCACCAAACAACGTATGTCAGGCACCCCAACCTACACAACACATAGCGCATGCAGAAGTGGGGGATGAGTAGGAGCAGGATGAGGTTCAGTAGCAGGATGAGCAGCAGCAGGAGGCAGGGGGAATGAGAGTGAAGATGAGGACGACGGGGCAGTAAGAGGATGAGGCGGAGGAGACGGGGACGGAGTGGAAGGGAGCAGCGCGGGGGAAATAGGTGTAGGAGGACAAGGCACATGAGGAGGATGAGGAGCTGCAGGGAGAAGGACAAGATGGGTCGGACAGGGAATGGGAAACGTAAGTAGTAGAGGAGCGGCGGTGGAGAGGAAGATGTGAGAAACGATGGACAAGGGAGCGGAGCGGGTATTGCCGTCCCTCGTCCAAGGGACGCTGTAGATTCATCAGTGGTGAGCACCAGAAGACCAAGCAAGACGGCTGAGCAAGAGGAGGTGAAGGCGGATGCAGAAGTGGAGGCGGCGGTAAGGGTGGAGGCAGAGATTGAGGAGGAGGAGTAGCAGGAGGAGGAGGACGGAGGGAAGAGGAAGAGAAGGAAGCCAATTATGATGATGAGGAGGGTAAGTGGAAGGAAAGAAGAGGAATGGGGAGGATGATGTGGGAGGGGAGAGAAGGCGAGGAGACGGGAGGGCGGCAGGGAGGTGATGATGGGCAGGAAGCGGCAGGAGGACCGCGGTTGGACGAGGTTGAGTTTCGTGGGAATTCAGGGCACTTGACCCCGCCCTCCCCAATGATTACAGACCGATTGCGATCCTGCCAATATTGTACAAACTCTTCGCTCGCACGAACTGCAATCGCCTCCAGGATATCGTCATTGCACAACAAGCGCAAGATCAAGCTGCCTACCGCCCAGGGTCCTCGACGGAATATTATATTGTCGCCGTGGCGCTGGTCATCGAGAAGTGCAGCGAGTGGAACCAGGACTTGTGGTTGGGACTCGTCGGCTTCGAGAAGGCATTTGACACCGTCGAACACGAGGCGCTGTGGGACGTGCTGCGCGAGTTTGGCATCGCAGAATCATGCGTTGGGCTGCTTCGGAAGCTGTACGCCGATCAGACTTCCACGGTTGCTGCCGGCGTGGGGTCCCGTTCTTTCAGCTTAAGCAGGGGAGTAAAGCAGGGGGACCCTATCAGCGCGCTGTTATTCATTGCAATCATGGAATATTGCTTCAAAGCGTTGAAGACAAGGTGGCGCAGTCTCAACAGGAGACGAGCTAGACAATATTTGGGCTTCGTCATAGACGACCAGGAGATGCCGCTGACAAACCTGAGATGCGCAGACGACGTGCTATTGCTTGCGCAAAATAAGCAGGACGTTGCGAAAATGTTAGCCCACCTCCAGACGAACGCTGCCAGATATGGGCTTCGCGTCCACCTCGGCACGACGAAGGTTCTCACGAACTGCCCCTGCGACGCGGGCAGCTTTGTGTTCGTTGGTGATTCCCGAGTCGAAATATTATTTCGCTAGGGGGGACCGAGAAGTATTGGGGCCGAGTCACCAATGTGTAAGACTACCACGGAACAGAAATTTCGAACCGCATGTCGTCAGCTTGGAGAGCATTTGCAAAATTTCGACACGCCCTGTGCTCACGGAGGTATCCATTATCTGCGAGGCTGAAATTGTTCGACTCGGTAGTGACTTCGACAGCCTTATATGGATGTTCGAGCTGGGTGCTGAAATTGGCCGACCAGAGAATTCTCCGAGGAGCCTGGCGCAAAATGCTGAGGAAGATCTTCCAAATCCCGCGCAGTCACGAGGAGGAGTGAATAGACCACGTCAGACGATCCACCCGTCTGTGCGAACAGAGGGCCCGCGAGCGAGGAATGGAAGACTGGGTTGCGATGCAGAAGAGCAGGAAACTGAAGTTCGCCTACAGCGCAGACTCCTGCACAATGGGAACATGGAGCACGCGAGTGTTGCGCTGTTTTCCGTGGTTCCGGACACGGGCGTGCAGACGTTCAGGGCGACCGTGCAAGCGCTGGGCCGACGATCTTTGACAACCTTTCAACGGCCATTGATGAGTCTTCACAATTTTTTGAACATTCGCATAGTTTGTTCCGTCGCGCTGTTCACTGGCCTGTGCGTCCTTTCTTCCTTCATTGCCTCGTTTCCGGCTCTCGGCCCCCTTTCTCCTTTCTCCCTCCCCGTGCTCTCCGCCTTGTTCTTGTGTTTCCTTGCTTTTTGTGTCTTGTGTGCCTTCCCTCCGTCTCACTGGTTGGCTTCCCTGCTCCGTCTCCCCGTCCTCCGTCTGTCGGCCCAGTCTGTCCTTCCATTCTTCTTTCCTCTCCCCCCCTCCCCCTTCCGCTCCTCGGCTCCTCGCTTTCCCGCCTGTCTCGGTTCCTTTCCTGGCCGGCGTTTCTTTGTAGGCCCGTCCTGTGGTCTGAATAAGAGCACGCGTTCCAGTTGCTCGTCTCACTCGGTCTGCCCAGGCGTTTTTCCGCGCGCCGTCAGGGGCCCGGCCCGCCGCGGCCGGTCAGCAAACCGTTTCTTATTCTTTTTTGTTGTTATTAGTATTATTCTTCTGTTTCTTTTTCTTATTCTTCTTCTTCTTCTTGCTAATTCTTCTTCTAGACCCAGGAGTAAAACCATTTAGCGAATGGAATGTCAAAGATGTCACCTATTTGTCGCACCGCTTGCGGGGAGCACCGCTCAAGCGCAGTCCCTGGCTCGGCGGCGCGCCTGGGGGGGAAGCGGGGTGCTGCCAGCCTTCTCGGGCATCGCGGCCTTCTGAGAAGCTTTCTGAGCTTTTCTAGGGCTCCCAGATGGGGTCGGAGTAGATGGGGTCGGAGGATCGCGCCGCGCCGCCCCTGCACCGCCGATGCGGCCCGATGTGGAGCTCGAACTTTTCCACGCTGTCGCCGCCGAGGCATCGGCGACGTCGACGTTGCATCGCTGGTGCATCACCGATGCAGCACCGATGCATCACCAATGTATCGGCGATGCGGCGCGATCCTCGGAACTCATTTACTCCGACCCCATCTAGGAGGCTTCTTAGTTTTCCTCGAGGATAGTGGAGGGCTTCTGAGAAGGCCCGCCGCTTTCTTAGAGGAACTTCTCCTTTTCATATCCCCCCCTTTCGCCGCCGACTGGCATGGTTTACTAGGGGTGTGCTGACCTGCGCTGGAAATCAGCGCCGGGCCCAGAGCCGGCGGGCGGTTTCGCTCAGGACGTCCTTGCGATGTCGGCGGAAGGGGCGGAGGCGGGCACAGGAGGGGGGAAGGGGGGGGGGGAGGGAAGGGGAGGGGGAAAAAGGGGGTGGGGGGGAGAGGGGGGCATGGCGGGACAGTAACGCAAGACGTCCGGAAACTGCCCATCAATCGCGGAGCGGCGGACAAGGAGCACGCGTGTGCGATCCAAGGGGTCAGCACGTGATGATCGGGCTCGTGGGGCCCAGGCTCGTGGCCCTGCAGCGGGGCGCCCGGAGGGCGGAGCGCAGCTGGACACACTGCGGTCAGGCATTTTGGTTTGGCGCATCGCGCCGCCGGTTCTGGCCCTCCACGCCTCGGCGCGACACGCTGCAGTCGAGATTGACTGGTAGATCGGCCCTGCCAGATCGAGGGTAACCTTCGTGTCCTGGGCTTCGCGGCCCAGCCATGCCTTCTTACATTCCTATGGCAATGTGGCCCTCGGAAGGGTCTTGTGTCCTCTCGTGCATCCTCTCCAGTCAACCCCGGCTGTCTCCACAGCCGGACCCCCGGGGCGGCAACGTCTCCAGCCCTTCCCAGCCTCCCGCCCCGCGGCAGGGAGCGACGCGTTGTCCGCTTGCAGGGCAGAGCGTGTCGTTGTTTCCGCCGCCGCCGCCGCCACACGCTACGCAACAGTTCCTGACCGTAAGCGCACAGTACGAAGCGATGGGCGTGTCTTGGGGTCATTTGGGCCGTCTGGGGGCCACTCGGACACTTCCCGAGAACAGTATTTGCTTTGAAAGCGTAGGAAGAGCCGGCAATCAACGCTTCACGATTTTCAGAGCTTTGAGTTTTACGCGCGCCCCGTGGAGATGAGATGGGATGCGGCAATCAGTAAGCGATGAGTTCAGAGATTAGAGAAGGCGGCGGCGGCGGCGGCGGCGGCAGCAGGCGGGGTCGGTGGAGGGGGCGGGGGCAGTCCCCGAACTTGATGAACGGGCGCGCGCGGGGCGGCCGCGCGCGCCGCTCGCTCCGCCCAAGACCGCCGACCCGACACTGCAGCCTCTCTCTCTTGACCTTCTCCGCTTTGCTTAAAACCTTAGGCGACTGCCCTGCGGAAGGCACTGTTGACGCGCTAGGTAGGTCCTACCTTGACACAGACTCCTGAGGCTGTCACTTAGCTGTCGCTGAGCGACACACCCGCAAGACGTGCAGAACGCGCACCCTTTGAGACGGATGGGGCGAGGGAGACGGACGGGGAGGACGAGCACCTTTCGCGGTGAGCAGCTGCAGCAGCAGGAGCTCCAGCTCGGTGCTTCGGACTCCTGCTGTGGGCGTGTGTGCGGGGGGAGAGCTCCTGCACATCCCCTTCGGCACCACCTGCACCCCTGGGCTTCGCCCACTCCGGCCGCCTGAGGCCCCGCCTTCCTGTGCCCTGTCTCCCTAATTAAAGCTGCGCGAAGCCCGCCTAGCTTTTAGCGGAAGAGGTTCGCTCTCGCCCCGCAGATCAAAAAGTGTGTGCGGGGGGGAGGAGGGGGCTCAGGGCCCAGACGCGCTCGCGCCGTACAGCACACGCTCACGACGGGGGAAGGGCTTTGGGAGATTTCGGCATCCGGGGGGCCCCCGTCGGGACCCGGGGATGGCGCAGCGGCTCGGGACGAGCCGGTCTGGAGGGTCGGAGCTGACGGAGTCGCACGTCCGGCAGTAGGTCAGCGCTGGGAACTCCTCGGGCTGCGCACTGACGGTCCCTCCAGGCACGCCTGGCTGGCCTCATGTATAGTCCGGGGCGCCCCCCAGTGCGCTCCGCGCCACAGGATGGAGGTGTCGAGACCACCCGGGGGTGCTCGGGGGGGCCTGTGAAGGCCAGCCAGGACTTCCACTTCGGACGTGTGCTTTTTTCCTTCGGCGAGGACCATCGAGGAGCATCCTTGAGCATTTGGCAAAAAAACACGCACGAAACCGACAAAAAACACAGGGAATGGACGTCCGAGCGATGCCCAGTCCAGGGTGGGAGGAGGTCAGGCGGGGCTATAGGACTGGGATCAATCATTCCAGAGCGTTGCGGGGACCTCTCAGAGCGTTCTGAGAGCGCTCTGGCTACGGCCGCGGCGCCCGATGCGTCCTCCAGAGCCGCCAGGTCTCAGAGGATCCCCGATCTTGTCCTGGTCCTGGCCTTCTAGGCATGCGGTCTCTTGATCCTTCCGATCCTGGGTCTCTGGCAGCTTTGACCCTTTTCCAGGGCCGTTGTTGCATCCCGAGCTGTTTCTTGACGGCCCCGTGGCCTGGCAAGGGCCCCCAGGGAGCCGAAAGTTGGCCAAGGCCTCCCGTCGTGGCTTCTGGCTGCACGTCGCGGGCACGCCCTGGGCCCTGGGCTGACTTTGCTGCAGTCCTGGCTCCGTCTTATCAGGGAGGACCCTCAGATCTGCCACTGCAGAGACAGCGGCGACCTCGCCAAAAAACCGCCACGGGAGCCGCGGGCCCCCCCTCTCCGCGTCCTGCTCCGAGCCGCAGCGAGCTGCGAGGGCCCCGAGGCCCGAGGCCCGGCGGGAGCGCCCGCGGGTGACAGGGCGGCAACGCCAGGATCGGGCCGGACGAAAGGGGGGGATTGGGAAAGGGGGGATTACGATTTTTGCTGCGGGCAGCTGGTTTCGGCCCCACCGAGGGGCCCATTCCTCGATACATGGCCGCCTCCGGCGCCGGGAGGCGCCGGGAAAATCAGCTATCGTGAGCTGATTCTCGAATCCCCCCTTTGCTATCCCCCCCTTTCGCCCGACCCGCTAGGAGCAGCTCGGGGGAGGGAGCGTGGCATGCACGGGAGCACCCACGAGGGCCGGGCGGGGCGGCGCGCCGGGAGGCTCTGGCCTCAGGGCCGTCTACCCGGACGTGGATGAGCGACCCGCCGCCCGCCCGCCCGGCATGTGCTCTCTCGAGGGAGGAGTCCAGGCCTCCCAGGTAGGGGGGTCCGAGTAGGTGGGGCGTTCCAGAAGAGGCCTCGCCTTCGAGGATCGAAGGAGTTGCCATCTCTTCCTCGGCGGAAGGTCGGCGGAAGCCGGCGGAAGTAAAACGAGGCCGTCTCCGCCGGCGGAAGCCAGCGGAAGGCCGGCCGAAGCGGGCGGAAGTACAAGATGCGCCCCCAAGAGATGACAACGTTTTTGAGTTCAGGGTTCCCAGAACCCGCCAAATGGGTTAGGAGGATCGCGCCGCATCGGCGATGCATCGGCGATGTGGCTCGATGTGGAGCCCGATTGTCTCCTGGTCAGCGCTGCCGACGCGCTGCCGACGTCGCTGATTCATCGTCGATGCCTCGGCGATGCATCGGCGATGGGGCGCGATCCTCCGACCCCATCTACTCGGACCACATCTCGGAGGTCCCTAAGAAAGGAGCTGTTATGGCGCCCGGCCCCTACCAGCTGAAGAGGTAGGCGACCAAAAAGAAATCGGTGACCGAAAGCGTGCCCGAAATTGTGACCAGCAACGTGGTGGTGCTCCCGGAATTGTAGCCGAAATTGAGAATCGCGTTTGTTTCGACCTACGGATTTGGTCACACCCTGTCGCGTTCGAAGAACACTGGGTGCCAGTGTCGGTTACTACACCTCCCTGATGCAAACGAGGCTGCGTGAGAGCTGCATAAGCACAGTTAAGACCCTCGAAGAGACGCGGCACAACTCGGCGGCGAAATCCGAGCCCTACCCTCGCAGAGCAACGATTCGGGCAACTCGATGGGCGGCGGGGGTAGGGTTCGGATGTCGCCACCTAGTAAACATGGAACTGTCGGAGGCCCGCGCAGATTTCTTGGATCGGCGCTGCACCCCCCTCCATGGCGCGCGGAGCGCACAAGGAGCGGCACCAGAGGCGCCGCCAGGGGAGCCCAGTGCCGATCCGAGAAGTTCGCGCGGACCTCCCCAACTTTATGCTGATGCAGGCGTTCTTGTTCCAGACAGTGGAAGAAGGACAGCCTTTGGCGCAGGATGTGCTCTGGTTTCCAGGCCGCTCCTCGGACCTAGGTCGGGAGGCCTCTTCGTGGCCGAGGCTCGCCGTGGCCAGGAAGCAAAAACCCCCAAACCTTCCGCTTCCTGTTCAGCGTTCCGAGTGGTAACACGACGGCTCCAATGTTTTGACGACCGCGCTGATTTCCTGGATCTGCCCTGGATCCCCTGGCGGACTCCGCTCGCTAGGGATGGGGGGCCCAGCGCCGATCGCAGAAGTCCGCGCGGACCGTCGGGTGTCTGCGCTGACTCAGCCTCTTCTTCGCCTGTCGACGCCGCGTCGAGGCGGAGGCGGTAGCACATTTCCTCCTCCGGATCCCGATCCTGATCCCCCTGATCCTGATCCTCCTCGCCCCGATGGCGCGAGGGGCCAGCGATGGCTCCCGGGCCAGCGCGCGCGGGGAGAGCAGCGGCAGCTTGCCGCGCCAACGCCTGCCGCCGACCTCGGGCCGCGGCCCTTGCCTCCCCTGGCATCGCTTGGACGTGTGCATTTCTCGGCGAGAACCATCGAGGACCATCCTCGACCATCGAGCAAAAAAAAACACGCACGAAACCGAAACATGCACGGGAAATGGACGTCCGAGCGACGGCAAGCTCCGGCACGCTCCCGGCGCGCTCCTCGCCGCGGCCCGCTGGCACTCCCCGGCGAAGCCCGGCCGCGGGGGGCGCGCGAGCGGCGCCGCTCCCGCCGAGCGGTGCCCGCCGTCCGCGCGAGCGCCCCCCGCGCGCGTCTCCGCGGCGGGCACCCCCACGCTCGACTCACCGAGCGCGTTTTCCACTACTCGCAAAGCACCTGCTCGCGAAGGTCGGCCAAAAGTCGTAAATCATGAAAGATATCGTAGCATATCGTAAAATGCCCCGCGGCGGCTCCAGGTCTTGTGCGAGCAGTTCCTTTGCCGGAGGGTGATGCACATCGGCCATGCAACCGCCCATGCATGGCCGATAACGGGCCCCTGTCCGCGCAGTTTGGCGCTCTGCCGTGTCCTCCGCCTGCGCCTGTGTGCGCGCGCAAGCTCGTACTCTCACAGGTCGGCCCGTCTCCAAGGGGGAGGGGACGAGCGGGGTCGTAGGCGAAAGACATCCGTATCCGCGGCATCGCGGGCCAGGCCCCTGGGCCGCGACCCGGCGGATACGGAGCGTTTTTTGGGGGATGTCCCGCGCGGAACGCATCCGTGCGACCGCGCATCCGCGGGACCGCGCCCCGGAATCCAGACCACGAGGGCGCGGGCACGGATGCACTCGCCGATCGTGACAGGTGGGAGGAGCGGCAGTCCGATTTGTTCTCCCCGAGGGTGGGGCACTCGGAGAAGGAGCAACAGCTACATGGGCATTAATTTTGGAGGGTCCCCGCGGCCTTCTGCGATCGGCGCTGTCCCCTCTCCCCCCTCCCTGGCGCACTGCGCCGAAGGCGCCGCCAGGGCGGTCCAGCGCGGGTCCAAGAATTCCATGCAGACCTCCTCGGGGAGCGTTTTGACCCCTGAGCCGCCCGCCCCGTCCTTGTTTTACCTCGGCCGCGTCCCTCCTCCCCCCTCCTCCTTCTCCTCCACCTCCTCCTCCTCCTCCTCCTCCACCTCCTCCTGCATGGTGGCACAATTCGGCCCACAGGCACCCCCGCTCATGCAATCCATCGCCAGCGCTGTCACCCTCTGCCTAGCCGCCGACGCTACAAGAATTATGCAGTTGTGTCGCTCCTCTCCCAGCACGGTGGCCCTCGGCCTTGGCCGCCCTGAGCTGCCCGTTGACGTCCAGCCGCCCAGCGCGTCTGCGCATCCACCGAGACGGGGGTGTATGCAGAACCGCCTCCTCGGAGATCGAGCTTCCATGGCAGGGTGGCCACAATCCGAGTGAGGGGGCCGAACGGTCTGACACTGTCCCCTGGTGCGCGGCTGAAAGGGGGTTCTGCGGCCAGGATTATCGTTGCTGTTCCTGGCTTGTTGCGGTCGTCCTGTCCGCGACCTTCCCACGACCCACCCATTTTGTTTCGACGAAGTCAATTCGGCGCTTCCGGCGGGCTCCTTGTGTGATGTGTAACACATTGGTTCGTGCGACGTGCTCCCTAAACATTCCTTGCAAGCCTCGCAGACTGCCCACGACCCCTTCTCACTCTTATCTGCAACCGCGGGGCTAATTATTGTGGGGTCGTTCTTCAAGGAATCTGCCCACGAGGCGTCAGGTCCTGGAGGATTCCTCATCTGATGAAGGCTGCGGTGATACTCATGGCCAATCCAGGATTGGAGTTCCACCAGTTTCCAGACCCTGAGTTCCTTGTCCTATGGTTCATTATCCAACGCGCTCACCGTATGGTATACCCATATCCGCGGCCCGATGGGGGACCAGGACGTCGGTTGCACGGGCGGCGGACGTGGCTACATCCCCGCCTCGTACATATAGGCCTCCCAGATGGGGTCAGAGCAGATGGGGTCGGAGGACCGCGCCGAAACGCCAATGCCTCCGCGATGTGGCTCGATGTGGAGCCCGATGTTCTCCGCACCGACGTCGCCGATGCATCGCCGAGTTCGCCAAGGAGGGCTCGGAATAGAGG